ACGCGTGTCTGCTTGGGTCCCCGCTTTCGTGGCTGAATACTACAACCATTGCAACAGCAGCAATGTCGCAAACGACCAAACACCCCTACAAACCACCAACAAACCCACCTAGCCCCAAAAGGAAGACAAATCCAAGCCACCGGACTTGCCAGTGTTCGCTACAGCGACACTGTCGTGGGGCCCAAACAACATAACAAAATTAGGCGCGAAATGAAGCAGCAATCTCTTGGCGGCCTTGATTTTCAAGGCTTTCGAAGAAGTCTTAAGCTGAAAGCTAATCTTGCTGGCGCGCTTCATGCCTGGCTCTTCTGAGCCCGGCACGTTCAATGAAAGAACGAATAAATGTTCATCGCCTTTAGTCTCAGCCCAGAAGGTCCCAGCTCCGGGCTTCTTCCATTTACCACCTTGGCACGTCTTAAGATATTGAACGTCAACAAGAGGTCCTTTAGACCCGTGCAGACGTTCAACCTTGGCAGCTAGATCTTTAGCACGCAAAACAGGCTCTCGAAAGCACACATCAAGTTGTGTTGCGGGGCCAGCATTCCCACTAAGATGCGCGGTGGCCTGTTTGAGTGCAAGCTTGAATGCTTGCACAGTCTGTTCAACTTTACCAGCTTCTTCCTTAGTGTACTTAAAAACTTGCACATCTCCAACCTGAATGGCTACAGGCTGCTGGGTGACGGGGAAACTCGGCTCAGGGTCCGCACTAGGCGACTCTTCAGCCGGGAGCTCTGTCGACAGAGTCGTCGCACGGCAAGGCGTTTGAGCATCAAGTCTGGCTTGAGCTTCGCCAGCCCACTGCATGATCCTAGCTACTGCAAGCTCCGGAGTCGGCAGAGAATCTGTGCCTGCTGTTGCAATCCTACCTAGCTTCTTCAAGACTTGCGGCGTGGTGGCTTCCTCTTCTTGGTTGCCCGCCTCTTGCGGGGGTGTAACGGAACCTTCAAAAACTTCCCTCGGGCTGCAGTCTGAATCCGAGACACAGTCCTGTGCTTTACGTTTGACCTGGGATGATCTGCCGTCAGATTCGTCCAAGCCTGCGGGATCTTGCTGCGAAGTAGCCTGCTGCGAGCCATGCCTCGACTCCGACGTTGGCAGAGTCATTGACTGCATCAGCATCTGGTACTGCTGATACTGCTGCTGCAGCTGCTGTTGCTGCAAGAGAAGGAAGTTGTGATTGAAACGGTTCATGGCGTCAACAAGCGGTCCTACTACACGCCTACCTCCTCGCGATCCAAGATACCTGAGCGTGAAAGACGCCTTGGAGGGAATAATGCGAGTCGCTTCCGTTGTCCAGAAAGGGGTCCGAAGGTTTCCTACGCTCAGTGCGTAAAAAAAAACGTGGGACAAAGCAACTTGCACGCGACACGGCAGGAGACACAGCAACACAGAAGCAAACAGAAGGAAAACAAACGGTAAACGCCGAGACCGAAAACAAAAAAAAAAAAACCTCCCAGGGGCCCATCGGCAAACCACTGAAGAAGTTCCGCTCACTCACAGCGGCCAGTGGAAGCCTCAGGTAACCTCAAGGGTGAGCCGACAAGAAAGCAAACATCAGGAAACGAACAAACACCAGACAACACCTCCCAGGGGCCCATCGGCAAACCACTGAAGAAGTTCCGCTCACTAACAGCGGCCAATGGAAGCCTCAGGTAACCTCAAGGGTGAGCCGACAGGAAGGCGAACATCAGGAAACGAACACCAACGCCAGACAACACCTCCCAGGGGCCCATCGGCAAATCACTGAAGGAGTTCCGCTCTCTCACAGCGGCCAGTGGAAGCCTCAGGTAACCTCAAGGGTGAGCCGACAAGAAGGCGAACATCAGGAAACGAACACCAACGCCAGACAACACCTCCCAGGGGCCCATCGGCAAACCACTGAAGGAGTTCCGCTCTCTCACAGCGGCCAGTGGAAGCCTCAGGTAACCTCAAGGGTGAGCCGACAACAACGTGGACAGGGTGTCCATCTTCTCCAAAGCCCACCGCACAAATGCCCTTGCTTTCAAGTCATTTGTCACCTTTCGGAAGCTACCCCCCTACACATGAAGCCCAAGGGTTTGGGCTTGAAGGAGCTGAGGCATAGGAAAAAAGTTTTGTGGATGGAGGTTTCGTATATAGGTATAGGTTTGGGTGGTTTGCCGCCTCAGACGGCGTGGGGTGGGTGAGTGATGTGATGGCCCGCCACAGTCGGGCCAAGGCTGCAACTCGCAAGCAACCAAACGGCTAATAAATCTTGCAATCCATGTTGTACTACCGCTACGCAATCTTGCAGCAAACCCTAAACCCTAAACCCTGAACCCTGAACCCTAAACCCTAAACCCTGAACCCTAAACCCTAAACCCTAAACCCTATAAGCCCTGAACCCTAAACCCTAAACCCTGAACCCTAAGCCCTAAACCCTAAACCCTAAACCCTGAACCCCTAAACCCTAAACGGGCGGGTTAGGACTCCTTGAAAGGGTCTTGGGATTCCTGTAGAGCCTCTAACAGGGGGGCTCCTTTAAAGGGGATTATAAGGGTGCCTTTAAAGGGCTCTACGAGGGTACTATAAGGGGTTAGGGATGTACAGTAAACCCCATAAAGTTGGAAACCGGGTTAAAGCCAAATAGTGCTGGGATTCCCTATACATGACTCTTGGGGATTGAGGCTACAGGGTTTCCAACTTTTTGGGCTTCTACTGTAGAGCCTCTTATATGGTTCCAGTTCCAAGACAGTTCCTATTAGAGTTAGAATTCCCCTCCCAGAATCGAACTTGATTGCAACATGGGGCGTAAGCCTCAAGCATAAAAAAGATCGTACTACTGACTGAAGCCTCTGTTACCGGATCGGCTTTGGTACTCAGGGCCTTGCATTGCACAGAGAACCCTGCAGATGTAAGAAACTTTCATGTTCCTCATGTTATTTAAGTAGCTTAGACATTCGAAGTTCGAATCATGGAGAAGTTTGATACATGAGTAAGACGATCCGGCCAAAAAAGCTTTGGTACAGGCCGCTTTTTGAGCTTTTAAAAATCCATAAAGCCTTGTAAAACCTCACACCTTGCCAACCCGAAGCACTCTTGTGAATGCCTGAGCGACCACTGAGACATTCCAAGGATTCTTCCCACGTCGCCCCCGGTGGCCGCGACGACGCAGCAAGCCATCGTCGTGGTGCCGTGGGTTGGGGGTTGAGGGTTTTGGTCTAGGGAGTCTAGGTTTTGAACTGAAAGGGGTCTGGGATTGAGAGTTTCGGTGTCAACTAAGAAGAGTTTCGGGGCTTGGGGTGTTGGAGTTTCAGGGCGCTGTTGAAGACTAGTTGGCTAAGTAGTGGAGTTTGGATTGGTTGTTTACTCGGGTACTCCGGAGCGAATCTCCGCAGTGTTGATGGCCATTGCATCTCGGGATTGCATTGATACACCCTAAGCCCTAAACCTTAAACCCTAATTGTGAGCGCTGGTCCGGTCTGTGTTTCCGTGGGCTGTTGACGGGGTAGCTCTGGTGCCGCCGCGTCTCGACGAGAGACTGGAACCCCTTACGGTTCGACAGTCTCGGAGCCCTCTTGCTTACGGTTCCTTCGTGCAGTTCTAGTGGATTATGTCCCAAAGCTTGGTTTAGTTTTTCAGGCTCTATCCAAGCACGAAAGAACATCTAAAGCACAAAAAACCCCGTAAAGAAACCCTAAACCCATCTACATTCCAAATCCTAAGCCCAAAACCCTAAATTCTAAACCTCAAATGCTAAACCCTCGAGGCCCTCTCTGTATATTAGGGGTCCTACTCGTATGATCGGAACACCAGACACAGAAACAACCGGATTGGTCAAAGTGAAGGATGGATCAGACCTTGGGCCGTAAGAGCCGTCAGCTGACATTCGACACATCCTGAACCTTCCAGGAATCTGTGAGAACTGGATACAAACAAGCTCGCGATTTCACCTTCAATGAGCTTGCTGAACCAGATTGGTGGTGCCTTTCATGCAATCGCTTGTCGGAACATGTTCTCCAGCATGGAAAAGGGAATTTTGCCTAGAGCTGACACACCGTTTGGTGAGGATAGTTACTATGGCAGGAGAAATGAATCTGGCAGGGTACACAGCTACTTTGGCGTCTATCGACCATTTGACGACAGGAATACTTCCACGAAAACGAGAATTGCTGGACGCGACAATCAGAGAATGCCTTTGGTTGTGCTCTACGTTCCTTCTGCCGACCTCGTTCGTGAAGGGGGAAGGATCACGGACAGCGGCGTCTTCATCGTTGGACGTCCTGTACCGATTGGTGTTTATAGGGACCCAAAAAAGCACATAAGCAAAACATAGGATAAGGATATCCCATATAAACCCCTCTATAATGAAGCCCAATAAGGTAGGGATATCCTTATAAACTGCTTAATTATGCTTATGTGCTTTTTGGGTCCCTAGGTTTAGGCTTCAAAGTGCAGGATGCATGCCCGGGCTTTGGGTGCTCTAGGGTTGTAGGGTTTTAGGGGTCTGGCTTACGGTTTACCTAGGGATCCAAAAGCCTACCGTTACAATATTTCCCTTGGGCATCAAAATCGCCGAAAAGCCTTATATAGTATGGTGTTTGGGCCCAAAAGCCTTAGTATATGAGTCCTTAGATGCCTAGGGTTTTTACCTTTCAATCAATGGGCAATAGCCTACCATTTCGTAGGGTTTGGAGCTACGGATACTAGGATGCCCAGTAGTACCCTTATTCCCTTTTTGTAGTCCTAGGTTCCTTATAAAGTTACCCAATTCCAAAAAGAGAGGCCTTTTTATTCCTAGGTTACTGGGTATCCTAGGTTTGGAGAAGTGTGTTGTTTGATTTTGGAGCTCGGGCCAGAGCGCCAAGTATCCACAAGAAGATTACCCTGATCTGTACAGGGCTTTACGTTATGATTGTAGGTGTGTTCTTTCCATGTGAGCTGAACAGGTTCAAGTTGGGGATTCAGGCATTAGTGATTTGGGGGGTTTAGGATTTGGGGCTTCAGTTGTGGTTTACGGCCACAGAGGCTGTACCTTCAACGATCTTTGGTACTCAAACCCTTTGGGTACTCACTTTGATCTTGAAGCCATTCTGTCGAAAGTCTTGGGCATTGTTGTAGCTCTTAAACCCTAAACCTTAACCCCTAGACCCCCATTTGTTCCCAGTATCACCAACAGCTGTTTTAGGACGGTATACGGGGGTTTAATTCATTACGGTGCAAGTTGGGCTGATTTATTTCTGCAGCCTTACCGAGGTTCCTGAGGAGTACCCTTTTGCCCTGTTTACCCAGGAACCTAGAAACCCGTAAACCACAAAAGTCCCAAAACCCTAAACGTTGAACTCGCAAAACCCTAATCCCTAAAAGCCCCAAACCCTTAATATGAAGAAGAGCCCCTAACCCCCTTAACCCCAAAAGCCGTAAACACCAAAAGCCCCAAAGCCCGAAACACCCTTAAACCCCCCTAAAACCCTAAATACCCCTAAACCTCTCTAACCCTAAGCCCCAAAAGCCCTAAACCCTAAATACCCCTAAACCCCTCTAACCCTAAACCCGAAACTCTGCGATCTTCCTGGAGATCACCACCTTCCCCGTGGGCGATATGGGAGCTGGTCCCCAAGCTCCCAGTGCCTCGGCTTTTTACGGTTCGGTTCAGGGGGACCCCTTTAAGGGTCTATAGTATAGTAGGGCTTTAAGGGTTCCTTTAGATGTGGGGCTTAGGGTTTTGTGATTTAATGCTTTGGGTTGTAATGGCAGTTTTGCAGCTTTTTCTGCATTTTTTCGGGTTTGTATTATGCCTCCCAGAGAGCCCAATACCCCTTAATTAGGGTAATATAGCTTAAATCATAATATGAAGCCCTATATAGTTTAAGCTCTATTCCTCAATTAAGGGGTATTGGGCTCTCTGGGTTAAGGGTTTCGATTTTTTTGGGCACTGGGTGTTCTGGGGTGGTTTAGGGTTTACGATGTGGGGTTTAGGGTTTGGAGTGTGGGGTTTAGGAGAGTTGCTAGGTAGGGCGCCTATTTAGAATATAGTCTAGGACCTAGAGTAGGCCCCTATTCCCTTTTTCAGGGGTCCAGGTTCCCTTATAAGCCCCTTTAAACCAAAAAGGGCACCCTGTTTGTTCCTAGGTTACTCTTGGGTTTAGTAGTCGAGGTGAGCCGTGCATTCATGGAACGCCTACCGTCGAAAGTTGAAATGAAGCCCAAGACTCCCGTCAGGGAGCACTCTCCGGATGACATGCAGAACTAGGATGCCCAGTAGTAGCCTTATTCCTTTTTTGTAGTCCTAGGTTCCTTATAAAGTTACCCAATACCAAAAAGAGAGGCCTTTTTATTCTTAGGTTACTGGGTATCCTAGCTCCGGATGACATGCAGAAGGAGCGCCCCAAGCGGATTGTTGAAACAAAAGAGCAAGATCCGTCTCTGATTCGTGCCGAGTTCATGGCATTGCCGGACCCGCTTGCACTATCCCAGAGCAGAGCGGAAACCTTTGTGACATGGGTTTCGAATCGCAAGCTGCCCTCGGCACTCAGTCAGGGAACAGCTGAAGATGCTAAAATCATGGCACAGGGGCATCATCTTGTGGTTCATGAAGAGGCAGATGTGCTCGTGAAGCTGAAAAGTGTCACAATAGATGACGTGGTCACTTTGAGGGTTTGGCTGTGAGCAGCATTGCGCGCTTAGCATCAAGATAGAGACCGTGCAACCGCGAGATTCTATTGCAGCGTGTCAGGCTACCCCACTTGTACCTCTACACGCAAACACGTTGAGTATGCAAAGCCATCGTGCAGGATGGGAACGTGTTTTTTCTTCGCTCCTGTCGCGTATTTCTTTTGCTGACATGTTCTTACGTGATTGGAGTGGGACATCCAGCCTTAAACTAATCCGCAGTCCGCTGTGGTCAACAGGAATCTTCCTTAGGTCATAAGAAGAAGCTCTCTCACATGAATGGCCCTGGTAAAGCCTAGACCAGTAGCACTACCATGATCAACACCCCAGACACCCAAAGCCCTTAGGCGTGAGTCTGAGCCGCAAAGCCCAGACCCTCAATCCTCAAATGTATTCAATCCTGTGAAACCTCGCGGTATGCACATCCAAGCCTGCCAAAAAATGAAGAGTCGTGATGGCCATCCGAATCACCACAAGTCTTCTTGCCTCGAGATCACAAAGCCTTGCGACTACGGAGTTCTCCATTTCTCATGCGAAGAAGCGTTACTTAGGGGTACTTAGTTGTTTTTGATTTTTGGTTATTGTAATCCCTAACAAACAGCTTAAATTTAATTTTTGCTAGGGTTCTAAGTTCTATATAGGTTGTTTATTTTAGCGAGCCTTCCCGAGGCACCCTCGAACTTCAACGCCAGTTCTTCAACAGTAAGCCTGCACTCCAAACCCCACTTTTTTCATAAAGGGAAACCTTAGAAGCTTGAACACAGCACACACACTTAAAACCTGTGCAAGTCCTTCTAAAAACCTTGACATAGCTCCCACCACACGGCCCGAAGGAAGGCCTAGAAGCCGTTACAAAGCCCTGATAAAGACCTTGCAGAAACGCTCAGAGAGATTGCACACGCCCATAACGTGCAATAGAGCCCTGAAACCCCAGAACCACTTAGACCCCATATGCCGCCTTTGGCCCTAAGCCCGGAAACCCTATCAAGCCCTAAACCCCATGTATCCCCTGTAGACCGCAACCTTTATAAGATTATGACCCAAAGCCCTATAAACCCTATAGCCTTGAATCGTAAACCTACCCAGAGGGTCCATATACATTACCATTATGGTAGTGTATATGGACCCTCTAGGCTATAGCATTATGACCCAAAGCCCAACATTTTCACAGAACCCAAACCCTGCATCCTATAAGCCCTCCACCTTGCCAGAAAGAAAACCCAAGCCCCAAGTCTCAGGAACATTAAGCGCTATAACCCTAAACCCTGCAACATTTAACTTAACACAAAACGCTAAGCCCAAAATTTTCACATAACCCAAAAGCAGACGTTTCACGACACTGCCACTTAGGTCTTTGGCTCGACTTCGAACAATGAAGGCTACGTAGCACTGCACATCCACGTCTAGTTTACATTTCCCTCAACAGGCATCGGAGTTGCCAGCGAATGAATTTGCATGCTTGAGTATAACCTACGCCGTATAACCCCGAAACCCCAGATCTCAAGCACCCTAGCGACCTGTGACCCTAATCCTACAACATTGAACATAATAACCCTGAGCTCAGAAGTGCACAACCAAAAACCCTACGCCTTTTCATGCCATAACCATGTAAGCCCAAACCCCATAATAACCCAAAATCCAAGACCTCCGGTACCCTAAACCCTGAACCGCAGAGCAAAACCCTAGACCTCAAACCTGCATTACAACCCCAAAGCCCGAAGTCTCAGGTACCCTATGAACTTGTGCCCCTAAACCCTACAACATTATAAACCTTAGACCCCTAAGCCCTAAACCCCCTAAGCCTAAACCCCTAAACCCTAAACCCCAAAAGCCTTAAACGCTAAACCCCTAGGCCCTAAACCCCCTAAGCCTAAACCCCTCAACCCCTAAGCCCTAAACCCTAAGAACACCCTTAAGCCCAGAATCTTAGGTGTGAACGGCAACCCGCCGCCTGCCTCAGCGCCTACGCCGCCCAGTACCGAAGAGGCCCCGGAGACACCGGCCAGGAGCGGGAAGGTACTTGGAGGTGCTCCTTTATGGGTTCCTGTAAGGTTAAAGGGTTTAGGGTTTTAGGGTTTTAGGGTTTTAGGGTTTTAGGGTCTATGGTTTTAGGGTCTACTTGGAGGTTCAGGGGTAGTTGGAAGTGGGCTTATAAGTAAGGTAGCTATAATCATAACCCGTGTTAGGAGGCTTATAACTCCACGTATAACTACCCATGAACCTCCAAGTAGCAAGCAGGGCTTGTGGGTGCCTTTTAAACTAGGACCCAGAGTAGGCCCTTATTCCTTGTTTTAGGGTTTAGGTTAGCTTAGAACCCCCATTAAGCCAAAAAAGCACCCTTTTTGCTCCTAGGTTACTCTTAGGTCGAGTAAAGGAGGGTTTCTATATAGTAGGGTTGCCTTTGCAGGGTTCCTCTAAGCGTTTAGGGCGTAGGATTGCTTCAAGGTTTCGGGTTGTAAAGGGCGTAGGTACGGGCTTAAGGGCTTTGAAGGTTTAGGGCTTTGGAGGTGTAACGGGCCTAGGGGTTTGTATTAGGGTTATATAGGGTCATAGGGGGTTGGGAAAGAGCGTTTATGGCTTCAATGGTTTAATTAATGGGCTTACGAGGGTTAGAGGATCTAGGGCTTTAAGGTGATAACGGTGTAGGGGCTGTTCAAGGGGCTGAGGGTTTCATGGCTTTAGACGTTTGAGGTCGTTAAGGGTTCTAACCTAGTCGTAGAGCAGGTACCCTTTAGCCTTTTTTGGATAGTATTAGTATAGTCCCTATATAACCCTATATAACCAAAAAGCTTAACCTTTACTTCCCCATGATACCCGACAAGTAGGTTATAGATACCTTAAAGTAGGAATCTGTTATCGACCTTTGGAAGGAAGCTTTGATACTAATTCAAGGACTGTGCGTCCTGGGGCTTCTTTTGAGGTCTTTAAGGGTGTTAAGGACCTAAGGGAGTCTCCGGCTCTAGTTCTTTATTGGTTGTGGGTGTAGGGTCGAAGGTTTAGACGCACGGCTTGTTGGTGGAGCGGTTCCTCGTGTAGCCCACTTCCAGCAACCACACCGCCGGCAGCGCGGTAGGTGGACAATCCTCTTTTGCCGACGTTGCAGCTTCCGTAGCTACCAACCACACCGCACCCAAACTTGAAGCTTGAAAAATGAAAAATGCCGAAAAGCAAACCTCCTATTTCAAGCCGAAAGGGTCCTGCAAGCCAAAACTCTCGGAATTGAACCCGAAACTCTTCCTAAAGCCTTACCGGGACCCTATCAAACCTACATTTTTGAGGATTTCTGCAAGGAAATCATCGTAAGGAGCCTTGATCAGGCCCTAAACCCTCAACCCCTAAACCCTTAACCATACGGCAGGACCCGGGTGGAAAACGTCGCCATGGTTGGTGGGGCAGCTCTGGGGGGTGACTGGACCTCACAGGGTTTAGGGTTTAGGGTTTAGGGGTTTAGGGTTGGGTAGTTATAAGGGTTTCTTTAAGGGTCCCTTCAAAGGGATCTATAGGGATTCGATAAGGGTATAGGGTTCAGGGTTTACTTGGAGGTTCGCGGGTAGTTACAAGCGGAGTTATAAGTAGGGTAAGCATAATTATAGCGCATATTAGGGGACTTAGAACTCCACTTATAACTACCCATGAATGAACCTCCAAGTAAGGGTTACATACCCAAAGGGTCCAAAGTACCTGTATGGTAGAATGCAGGGTTTCTATATTCGGCATTACTACTATGATTTGGGAAGTCTTACCCATATTTAGGGTTTATAGGGGTTTGAGAGGCTCTAGGCGTGGGATTTAGGAAATTTAGGGTTTAGGGGTCTGGGGGTCATGAGTCTAGGGCTCTATGGCTTAAGGGTTTAGGGGCTTAGGGTAAGGTCTGCTGGGAGTTCTGTACGTGGTCATTGGTTCCGGAAATTGTCTTTATGATTTTCTTCATGGACTTAATGTTGAACCTGTTGTCGTGGTTTCTCGGCATTGCTTTCGAGTCTTTCTGGCGCAGAGGGTCTTGTAAGCGTTTTCTGTTGCAGGGTTGGTGCCTTGGGTTTCGAGGCTGGCTGAGGTCGTTTAGCGTTTCGACGCTGTCGTGCGACGCTTTGGAACTTTGGCTGTCCGTACCTTTAACCTTTTTTGGGTAGTATAGTCTCTATATAATCCCTATATCACCAAAAAGTTTAATCTTTAGTTCGCCATGATACCCGACAAGTAGGTTGTCTAGTTGTCGAAGAAGCTGTCTCCTGGAGTCGGAATGGTTGTGTCGGGGCTTGGGGCCCTGCAAGACTTGGTGGGAATCTTGTGCAAGTCAGGTGCCAGACCTCTAGAATTGTAACAAAGTTACAGCACAATAACGCTGCGCCCGGCACTCTGGAATCCTGAAACCATTTTCAAGCCCAATTCCGAGTAACTTAACAGCCCGTCAGTTAAATCCTAAATCCCTAAATCCCTAAACCCTAAATTCCTAAACCCTAAATTCCTAAACCCTAAATACCCAAACCCCGAAAGCCTCCCGAAACCCCATCCCCTGAACCCCAGATCCCCACCAATCCCCCCTCCCATCTCTCAGCCCTGCGCTGCCCTACACCACGAAAGCCCTAAGCCTTGAATCCCCAAGACTCCTCCAAGAGGGTTTAGGGTTTAGGGTTTAGGGTTTAGGGTTTAGGGGCCCTTTCAGAACACCCCCAGCCATAAAGCCCGTTTAACCACGGAGAACAATCCGCAGCAAAGTGCCAAATCTTGTATGCACCTGGAAGGGAAATCTTCCTTAGTGGCCTGGTCCGTTCAGCCCAAACACTGAAGCATCTTCTTCAAATCTTCAAATGGGGGCTGATCAAAATTATGGGCCCTTTGGGGGTCTCTATAAAGGTATTCTTCATGGTTTAGGGGACCAAAAGGGGCCCAGAATTTTGATCAACCCCCAAATGACTTCCGATAAGTGTTTGAGGTATACTTCTGTACCGTCAGGCCAGAGCTTTCGAGAAGACGTTTCTCAAAGGACAGAAGAAGTTGGTCCTGTCGTACTCTGGCGACTACAGTGCTGCCACTGATTGTCTGAGCAGATAGATGAATCTGATGTCCATCGCTGGTTGCCTGAAGTTTTCAAAGGCAGACCATGAAGCTCGTCACGAGCTGAGCTGGAGTTCGGGAGGACAATTGATGGGGAGTCCACTCAGCTTTACCCACCTGTGCGCTATAAATTGTGCAGCACTGTGGGAGGCAAGGGAAGACTGCAGGTCCAAGTAGACCCGCAGGATATCGCTGCACCTGTCAATGGTGACGACATCTTGTTTCCGACGTGTTGGGAACTCTACGAGAGATCTGGGCATGAACCCAGTGCGAAGGCAAGAGTTACGAGTTATGTGCGCGATGTCGTTTAAGCGGTACCGGAACCCTAAACCCTACGGGGCCTTGATGTCAACAGTAAACGAAGGACCCTTGAAGGAGCATCTACAACCTCGTAAGGAGACACGGTTTAGCCTGCACGAACCCTGCACCCTAAACTCTGAAGCCTAAACCCTGATCCACAAACCAGAACCCAACAAAACCCATTCAGAAGCCGTTGTAGACTTAGAGCTATAGAGCAGAGCCCTTGTGGAAGCCCTATGGAACCCTTAACCCGGATCCTTTTCGTGGTCAGCCATATTTACGGTTCGGAATCTGCAATATGAATGTTGGTTACCCAAAATAGTAACTACAATCCTAGAAAACCCCATAAAGCCCAACAAGCTGAAAAGAAGCCCTACTCAAAGGACCATGGGAGACTACAGGAACCCCTTCCTTAGATCCGTCGCCACCAACCAACCCTAAGCCCTAACCAGAACCCTAAGACAACCCTCATCCTTAAACCCTTCCCTAAGCCTTTTACCCTAAACCCCAGTTTGTAGTCCCTTATGACACCTTAAACCCTAAACCCTTAAGCCCTAACCCTATCCCAAACCCCAAGAATCCAAGTACCTGATAGTCATATACTCTCCAAAATCATCCCAACCTACATAACTACTATCCTAAAACCGAGTACCTAATTATTGGGTCCTTTGGACACTTAGGGAAAACCCAAATCCAAGGACTTTGCATCCTGGGGGCTTGGAACCTTTCTCAGGAACCGTTATAGATCCCTTAAAGCCATCCTCTTTTGGGTAGTATAGTCCCTATATAATCCCCTTATAACCAAAAAGGTTAACCTTTAGTTCCCCATGATACCCGACAAGTAGGCTATAGATCCCTTGAAGGAATCTGTTATAGACCTTTTTAAGGAAGCCTTGATACCCAGAACGTCCATCTACATTAACCTTATGGAATTAGGTCCCCAAAACCATAATAGGGATGGTCTTTTGGGACCTAATTCCATAATGGTAGTGTATATAGACCCTTTCAAAGAAGCCTTGATACTACAGTTGATGATATAAATCCTGCATTACCCATAATCAGGAATGTACCATAATTCCCCTATATTCCCGATTATGGGTAGTGCAGGATTTATATCATCAACCGTACGGCCTATGGCTTTAATGGCATGGTTTTCCTGAAGCTACCGGGCTATACCCCTAGGGATCAAAACAGCCCAAAAGCCTTATATAGTATTCCCTTCAACCCTAAACCCTACAACCCTACAGATCCCTTAAAGGAACCCCTATAAAGGTACCCTTATAGATCCCTTTAAAGGAACCCTAGGATGGGTAATGCAGGATTTATTCCATTCAACCGTCAAGGACTGTGCGTCCTGGGGCTTCTTCTGGCGGGAGGCTTCGGATTCCGGAAGCGCGAGCCGCCGCGTGGCTTCTGTGTTTTTCTCTCCCTAAGGCTCCATGTACCCTTAAGGGTTCCTGTAAAGGGAACCATAAGGGGTTCTACAAGAGTTCTACGAGGGTTCTATTCGGGTTTAGTTTAGGGTTTAAGGCTCCGTGTGCCCATATAGTAGGAACTTAGGCCTTAAAGGGATCCCTATACAGGTACTTTAAGGCCTAAGTACCTAGTATCTGGGTACATGGAGCCTTTGGGTCTATTTGTGAGTTTAGGGATACAGGGTTTAGGGGTTGGGGGTAGTTTGAAAGGTTGAGAGTTTAGGGTTTATGCCTACGGCTCCAAGGACACAGATTTTGCGGCTTTTAGGCTTAACGACCATACATACTATACAAGGCATTGGGACTATTTTGAGCCGCAGGGTGTTGGTCCTTTGAGTGGCGGGTCAACGTTTTGAAGTTCCAAGGGTCGCGTTAAATTGCATTGTAAGTGGTGTAGTGGTGTGTGATATAAGAATGAAAATCATTACCAACATTCTTCCTTGTAGTCATTCTAGCCGTGTTGGCTCGCTTCGCTGCGGCTTTTTCGCTTCGGCCGTTTACGCTTCGGCTTTCCGGTTTGACGGGTAGTCCCCTTATAGTAACCCTGATAGACCCCTTTAAAGGAACCCCTATTCTAATCATAAAGGCCCCTACATGTACAGTCCCCAGGTCTCCTCACACCCTTGTTGCCGTAGGCTATTGGGGTTTTGGAGTTGGGGGTTTTCTGTAGGGCCCCAAAAAAGCACATAAGCAAAAATGAGGATAGGGATATCCCATATAAAACCTCTTATAATAAAGGCCAATAAGGTAGGGATATCCCCATAACATGCTTATGCTTATGTGCTTTGGGGGGGTCCCTATTCTGAGTCTTCAGCCTTCTCAGGCTTAGGGCATTTGAGCTTCATTCAGATTCGGGTGTGTCGGGGTTTGGGGTTTAGGGTTTAGGGGTTTAGGGTTTAGGGTTTAGTGTCGGGGTTTGGGGTTTAAGGAAACCGCAACCATACACCCTGAAACCGTACAGCCCGAGCCTACCTGCACTCTGGGCGCTTAGGAGGAGGGACATGCCGGCGATCACTTTGTACAAGCCCAGTGTCTCTCGGCAGCATGAGAATCTTTTGCCCTTATAGCCGCTTTATAGATCCTTCATGCAAACTCTTGTGTTCCGGAAGCCACCGTTGCAGCCCAATAAACCGGTAAAGCACCATATCGAACCCTCGGACCACCCGAAGCAAGCCAAGCTCAGGACGGCGAAAAGCTTGCGCAAAGATCACATAAAACGCACCATAAGAACCTTTCAAAACCCCTAAGCGCTAAACCTAAGCTCCTATGACTGCATGTATAGGACCCTTACAGGAACCCTCAACACTACCCTAAACCCTAAGCCTTACACCCTAAACCCTACCCTAAACTCTAAACCCTAAACCCTAAACTTAAATCCTAAACACTAAACCCTAAGCCCTACCCTAAAACCTAAACCCTAAACCCTAACCACCCTTCATCGCACTCCTTTAAGGATCCCTGAGGAGCTTTAGATGAGCCCTTTGAGCTCCTGAGCTACGGGCAAGCCCTGATTTTTGCATCCTACAGTACTTGGAGGTTCATGGGTAGTGATACTGATGGACTGCATCCTAGGGTTCCTTTAAAGGGATCGATAGGGGTACCTTTTAAGGGGCCCCCTTAAGGGATCTATAGGGTTTAGGGTTTAGGTTGATGATATAAATCCTGCATGATCCTAAGGACTCTCTAAGCTATGGGAATTATGGTATATTCCTTCTAATGGGTCATGCAGGATTTTGTCCATCAGCAGTAAGGGGTTCCTTTAAGGGTCCCTTTAAAGGGATCTATAGGGAGTCTATAAAGGTATAGGGTTTAGGGTATACTTGCAGGTTCATGGGTAGTTCTACGTGGAGTAAGTCCCAGAATATGGGTTATAGTTACGGTCACCTTACTTATGACCCTACTTATAACTACCCATGAACCTCCAAGCACAGTAAACCTTCAAAAACCTCCCAAGAAAGCCTTATAGACTTATAGATCCTGTCTTGGACCTGTAAAGGAGCCCTTAAAGGAACCCTTAACCCTCAATCCCTAAAGTCCCTTATCGAACCCTTGAAGAAGCCCTACCCCAAAACCCCTAAACTCCCTTATAGAACACCCTCGCAGCCCCTTTCAAAGGGTTCCTTTATAAAACGCTCCTTTAAGGGGCTCTTTTAAAGGAGCCCTTTTAATTCCTTTATAAAGGGCTTCTTTAAGGGGCTCGTTTAAAGGAGCCCTTTTTTGGCCCAGGACGCCGCCCCTTCCCCGGCGGAGCCGACCTTCGAGCTCACGGTGGCCGGGCGCGGCTCCTCCTCGAGGGCCTCCAGCAAATCCTCCACAGGCCCGCGCTTCATTTTTGTGGCTTAGGGTTCAGGGGGTTATGGTATTTTGTGGTTTAGGGTTTAGGGTATTTTGGGGTTTAGGGTTTAGGGTCTTTTTTGTTGTTTTTGATTTTGTTGTGTGTGTTGGTGTGGGTGTTTTGCTTTGGTTTTTGATTCCGAATCCCTCCGCCTTCATTCAGCCATTCAGTTGTACAAAAACTCTATGGAACCCTGGAAGCCCTAGCACTTTATGAAACTTTCTATCAGCTCTAGAGAACTCAGTAACGCCCTAAAAGCCCTCACACAACCCCAAACTAAAAGCCTTAAGCCCCAACCCAAAACCCTAAACCCTGAAGCCTAAACCATAAACCTTAAACCTTGAACCCTAGACCCAAACCGTAAGTTCTAACCGTAAACCCTAAACCTTAAACCCTAAACCCCAAGCCCCAACCCCTAAACCCCAAACCCTAAACCCTAAACCTTAAACCCTAAACCCAAACTCCAAACCCTAAACCCCAAACCCTAAACCCTAAACCTTAAACCCTACACCCTAAACCCCAAACCCTAAACCTTCAACCGACTCAAAACAAAACCTAACCGACTCTGCGCTGGGAGGCTCCCGGGGAGCCCTGATCACCGATGGGCCTGGATCACGCCGCAACAGCAGCTGGACCGTGGGTCTCTAGATCCAGGGTTTAGGGGTTTAGGGTTAGGGTTTAGGGTTTAGGGTTGGGTTTAGGGTTTTGGGTTTAGGGTTTAGGGGTTTAGGGTTTAGGGTTTAGGTCCAGGTGGGTCTCTAGATGGGTGGTGGTCAAAATCAGGGTCCCTTTTTGGGCCCCGAATATAGTACGGCACCTAATATTTAGGGTACCCAAAAAGGGACCATAATTTTGAGAACTACCCAGATCTACCTGAAAACCTACCGTTTTAATGTTATACCTTGCAATTAGGGGCTTGTAACATACTATTTTGTAGCGATTGACGAAACAGGTAGGTTCCTCGGCAGTACCCATTGAGCCGAATAGTAAGAAAAAGGGTACCCTTAATATAACGGGGTTGCTCAGGAACTCAGAGATGGTATTTGTCTAAAAGAGTTTAGGTTTTGGTGAGTAGGGTGCATTAACAAAGGTGTTTAGGGCTTCAGGTTTTTGAGGCTTCGGCAGTATAGCGGGCTAAGGCGAGCTTTTGAGGGTTTAGGGTTTAAGTCTTGGTTTGTGGCGGGGTTGAAGACTCTGATATTCAACGGTTGCTCAAGGGCTACAATGGTTTCGTGGGGTTTAACGAAGATTTCTGAAGTTTTTCTTTCTCTAGGCTTGAGCGGTTTTGGGGTCCCTGCAGCACCATGCTCGAATGATAGGCTATGGTCCCATTAGAAAGGGAATATAGGGGCCGTACTAACTCGAGCAGGGTTTGGGCGCATATTATCGTATAATGAGAGGAGGGAGCCTTACGCAATGATGTAATTACTCGTCCCGGAACCCTAAACCCTGCCTGTGGATGAGAAAACCTACGGTTTTAGAGATTTTGGCGTCATAACCTACCATTTTGTAGGGTTTGGGGATACAGGCAAAGCCTCTCAATCATTTACGCCTTTCCAGTAGGTTCCAGCAGCCATACTTGGCGGTTCATGGGTAGTTATAAGTAGGGTTATGTATGAGTCCCCTAATATGGGTTTCTAATTATAGTTTATCTCACTTATCACCCCAGTTATAACTACCCATGAACCTCCAAGTAGGCCCTAAACCCCATACCCCTATAGAATCCACAAAGATCCCTTTAAAGGGACCCTGAAAGGAGCCACTTAAGATAATTGCCCATGAATCTCCAAGTAGACGGCTGTGAGGCTTCCAAGATGAGGGGTTTAGCATTCTGGGATTCGGATCTGGGTTCAGCTTTGCTTATTACAACTGAATACTCGGAAAAGGGTACCGAAACTGTAATCGGGCTACAGAAGAACCGAATCAGTGTTTAGGGTTCAGAGTTCAGGGCTTTAGGGTTTAGGGCGGTTTGGGACTTTAGGGTCGTTTTGAGTTCAGGGTTTAGGATTTAGGGTTTAGGGGTGTGAACTCTGGAGGTTTTGGCGTTATTGCTTTAGGATTCAGATTAGAGGTTTCGGGGTTTTGGGTTGAGGGTTTAGGGTCAAGTTCAAGGTTTGTTTTGGAGTATTAAGGCTACTTGTGGTCGTTTCAAAGACTCAACGTAACCCACGATAGGGCAAGACCCTAAGCGCCAATCTTAAACCCCGAAACCGAAACCTTAATCCACAAATCCCCCTTGCCAAAGCCATCACCAATATCCCGAAAGCACCCCTGATAGATCCCTTCATGCTCGGCTTCTTATGCATACTCTACATCCCAGAATCTTGAAGGAACCCCTTATAGACCCCTTACCGAAACCTTGATTCTCGAAACCCCTAAACCCTACACCCTCAACCCAAAACTCTTAAAATCCAAACTAAACCCTAAACCCTATAGAACCCTATAGATCCCTTTTCTGAAAAAGAGCCCTAAAGCCCCAAACTCTTAAAGCCTTAGAGCCCACGCCTAACAAAAGCCGAGGCCGCGAGTCTGCCGGGTCCCTCAGGTCAGCTGGTAAGGCGACGGCGGCTCGGACTGAGAAGTTTGTTTTGTTGTGCTTTCTTTTTTGTTTGTAGGTTTTAGGGTTTGGGGTTTTAGGTCCTTGGGTTTAGGGTTTAGGGTGTTTTATCTTAGGTCTCTTGTTCCCCAGGGATCTAAGGGCTCATATCTTAAGGCTTTTGGGCCAAAAGACCATACTATAAGAGGCTTTCGGAAAGCCTTTTTTTGTGGTTTATTTATGGGTTTAGGGGTTTGGGGTTTTGTGTTCCTTTAACAACAAGTGGAGGCTCTTGTGTTTGCATCGAAGAAGGACAGTTGTGTTTGTAATTATTGTTTTGTTTTTGCGTTGTGTTTGTTATACAGTTTATCAAAGTGCCTGTTTATGTACTGGTCTTCTGGCACAGACTATGGAACCTTTCCAAGCGATTTCCACACACTAAAACCTTAACACCACAACCGGATGAGAAGCCCACATTACCCCATGGCCCATGAAGATCTTGTTTTGAGCCGCAAGGCCGAAACCCTAGATCCCTAGAAGCCCTACAGGGAACTCCAGAAAGTTGGAATATGGTTTCATGGTAGGATACTTTATAATTTACCATAGAAGGGTTAGGATAATCATATTCCAACTTTCTGGCTTTTACCTTAACCCCGAAGCCCAAATCCCTGAAACGTTGAGCCGTAAACCACAAGTCTCTTAGACCGAAACCCTGAACGTTTAAAGGAACCCTGTTATAGCACCATATATCGTTCCCCTACAGGATCACTTAAAGGAGCCGGCAAAGGAACCTTGGCTTTTGTACCGTGTAAACTCAAACCTTTAAAGGGACCTTAAGGGTCCTTGAAGGGTTCGATAAGGGAGTTTAGGGGTTTAGGGTTCAGGGCTCCTTTAGAGGAGCCCCAACAAAGCCCCCGGACAAACAACGAAATCCTTAATGGCTTAGTGAAACTCCTTAAAACCCCAAAGCCGAGACCTTAAATTCTAAACCGTAAAGCTTGCAAGCCTTAAGAGTCTGAAACACCGGAACCTCTGTAAGCCCAGACCCCAAGGTCGAACCCCTACACCCTACCTGGACCCTCAGGACCATTCCTTGTCAGGGTTTCCTTCCTTTTATGATCTGCTTGTATAAGTCGTTACGATTTTGCTGTCTTGGGGTCTAGGTAGATTCAAAACTCTTAAAGAAAGCCCAGTACGTCCCAAAAGCGCTGGACAAATTTTCAAGAACCACTGCAGCAGGAACCCTGCAAGCCCTAATCCAATAAACCCTGACGCAAGGACGCGGAGGCGCTGGCGACGGCCAGCACCAACGCTTCGAACTTCAGCGGCGTCGGCAGCGTGAACAGCAGCCGCCTGCTTGGTGATTGGGCCTTTAAGGATGCTAGAGGCTTTGCTATAAAGGCCACCATAGGCTGTGGGTTTTTGTTGTCTGGAAGTCTGATTTAGGAACTTAGCGTGTTAGTATTTGGTGCACGGCCTGATTTCGAGCAGTTGTGGGCAACGTCCTCGGATGTTTTGCTTTCAGACCGGTCTTTGAAAGGACCGCAGTTGCCGTTACTCTTGTGTTTTCGGGTTTTCTTAACCTAAACTTAGTTCGGGTTCCGGGTTTCGGGACCCTCAACCCTGAACCCGAAACTCTAAGCGGGAAGACCAACAGAACGGCATGGCAAGATGACCTCGTGTTTGGCTCGTCTACTATAGAGGCCTTAATATTCAGAACAGGGTTCCTTTACAGGGATCCTTTAACAGGGTCACTTGCTACAAGGGGTCTAGAATAGGGTTCTATAGTGCAGGTGCCTTAATAATTACCTATACTATGTTGGGGGCCCTTACGAAATTTGTAGTATATTGGGCCCCAAAGCCTTATTCTAAGTATTAAGGCCACGTGTTATTGGCAGAATCCACATTGGCATATTCAGTGTACTGGCGAGAGAAAGGGCCAATGCCAGAATGCTTCTATCTGGTGCTCAATCCTGAAGTAGCATTGACACCATAAGCCGTCCAAGCATGCCACAGGGGTGAAGCGTTTACAAACAATAGTTCTTGAAGCCTTCCCCCAACCTTATTCCCGTAACCGCAAGTCTGGAACCCCAGACCACGAGACCCTTTCGACCTTTTTCTGCCCTCAAAACTACATACAAAGGGACCCAAAAGACCTTCTGAATGCCTTGAAAAGACCGTTCCACAACACTGCAAAGAAAGCCAGCTCAAAGATCATAACACCGACAAACAACCCTAGAGAACCCAACTCAGGTTCGAGTTTATTTTCTCAAGAACTCGTTTACAGCAAGACAGGCGCACAGACACCCTCTACCTTAAGCCCTTCTAGCCACAACCATAGATGGGAGCATCAGGGAAAAGGGGACCCTAGCATAGAACCCAAATCGTCGTCGGATCCCGATTACAAGGACACCCGAGCCCCCCAAAACAAGGTAGCCTTGCCCTTAGTGTCGGAAACCCCCATGGATTTCAACCCCAAGCTCTTGGCCCCAAGCCCTATGCAAACCCTAAGCGCTAAACCCGAAATACATCGATGTGAGGTTGGGCCTGGGGGCAAAACCTGCAAAATGATGGCACGGGGAGCAACCACTTGGGATCCCGGCACTTGTCACCCCAGAGGCAGCGGCTTAGGGTTCGAGGGGTTATAGGCTATAAGGGTTCATCAGGGTTGAGTCAGGGGTGGAGTTTAGGCTTTAGCTTGTCGTGTTTGTGTTAGGCCCTGAACCCTAAACCCTAAACCGAAGGAGCCCGAGGCCATTGCTGGAGTTGAAGGTTCCTTTCGGATTTGAGGCATGTATAGAGTTTGGTTTTCATGAGGGTTTGAAATTTCATCGCGGTTCGGCTAAACCCAAACCCATGTAAATCCTCTAGCAAGCATTTTGAGGTTCCTGCTCCGGGTTCAGTGATCAGGGTCTGTGAGAGAGGTGTCTTGGATGTAGTCCAGTATAGGGGTCGAGCATCCTCTTGTATTTCCTGTATAGTTCTACTGGAGCATGCCCTCTGGCGAGCAGGTTCGTCTGAGTTTCACCTGCATGGTCTACCCGGCTTTGTTCCCATGGTTATACAAGGGCGGAGGATTTCTGGCACCGTCTAGTGGATCTTGATCGGCTTAGTGGCTTCCTGGGCTTGGATTGTCTTTTCGGATTTCGCGGCTCTTCGAGTTACTTCAGTCAGGAAGAGTTGTTCGATTTTTCGGCTGGTTAGAATTTTGCGATATACAATTGACAGGTAAATTGGATTCGGTGGGGAATCATCTCCAGATTACAACCAAACACCTCGACTAGACCCACAAATGCACATTCACAGAGGCGGGGCCTGACGAACTCAGTTTCAGGGTTCGAGCGTGTTTCGTGGCCTGCGCCAATGTAGTATGTTTTAATCTGCTCTACTCTTCGTTGTCTTATTGCTCTCAGCCAGGTTTGCACAGTATTAGCGACCCCGTCCGTCGTAGTCGAAGCCATGGCAGCGCCTGTGGTGACATGGGTGATCTTCATGACGATCGCCTGTGTCGCACGAGCATGGAGCTCTGAGTCGTACAGCAGACAGCGCAACTGCGGCTGGTTCTCTTGTGAGACATCGGAGAGGGGTACGCGTTTCAGCGGATGGGGTTGGTCGTTCGAATCGAAGGATCACCGTGCAAACTGGGGCGCATCCCGTCGGGAAGGTTGGGCGTTGCAGACCTCATGGGGCAGTACAGGGTCATACACTGCAGGCGACGGTTGTGGATGGCTCAGTTGTGAGAAGCAGGATAGTAGTTGGTACCTGAGCAGCGGCAACCAAGCGGCACCATGGTTCCAAATCGGTGGCAATAACGGAGGAGGGTATCTTACCCGGTGATTCCGAGTGGAGTGATCGCTTTTGCCGCCAAGATCGCATTGGCTCTACGGATGCCACCGCTGACCGTGCAGTCTTTAACGGTTGGTGTCATCCAGAGGGGCTGCTCTCCGAGGTACTGCACACTAAGCTTGTGCTATCACGCAAGCGAAACCATCCATCACGGAGCTTGGTTTGAGAATGTTCAGCTAGCTTGAACCCAAGATCTGAATCAAATTGAGTGGGATTCCCCTTTCCGAAGTTGGGCTTTGGTACCTAGACGGATGTAAATAGAAACTGGCCTGGATACTCTGACCGAGTGTAGGTGTCTGAATCATCGCATCCCCTGTTATATGTAATGTTAGAGCATGCGCCCCAAACCATTCACGGATTGGGTTGTAGGCAGAAATCGACTGGTGTCCGTCGACAAGTGGGGCTTCAGTTTGTTTATTTGACGACTCCATTCTAGAATCGGACGCCTCTCCGTAATTGCTAAATGCAAGTGGCAGAACATAATTAGACAACCACCTCCTGTAATTTCAAGTTCCGAGGCGGCCAGGCGGATGTAAGATGCAAAATGTTCTTAGGTCTAATTCATTAAGGGTTTACATGGGGCTTCATTGTCTCCGACAGCAGCAGCAACTCGGAGTTCATTCCTTGTCTACGTAGTTTCTGGTTTTTTGGAGACGGACCGGGAAAAGAGGCGTGTTGCTGACAACATGTTGCTTGACATCAGGTTTAAGATCCCCTGTATTTAAGCACTCCCCCGGGGCCAGCCAGACATGGAATTAAACTATATCTGCTGAACTGCTACTGCTACTGCTTACTGTTTTAGAACTCCTGCAGTACCCATAATGAGGAATATACAACAATTCCCATAGTTTAGGGTCCTTCAGGTACTACAGATTATATCATCAACAGTAGCACCAGGAGGCCCTGCTTGCTATGGTTGGAGGGCAGGAGGGGGTGAGTGGCAGGAAGCCGAGGTAGTGCGGGGAGGGGTGATGGGGGCAGGCGGGGGTATACACATGAACGTAAGTCAGCATTACAAGGATCTTTCTGAATTCGTGGGGGTATAGGTCCTTTTTTTTAATGCAGTTTACAGTTGTTATATGGTTGATCGGTTTGGTCGGGTGTATAGCTCGTTTTCACTGTTCCGGATGTCAGTCTTGGGTCATAGGGTTTTGAGACATTATGTGTCAGCATGTTGCTCTAAACGAGGTCCACTTTTTAGGAATCTCTTCCTTTCAAACTGCATGAACCTGCAACGATATCCATACTTGCAGGAGCGTACATTCAATGTTGAAGTGTATTCTGCGATCAAGATGGAGTCTGAGGGCAGGGTCAAGGTCTCGGGTGCCCAGAGACCCAGTGCCCCTTGACGCTATATACAGCCCTCTGCAATTTCAGGCTCCATCGTTTGAGACCAGAATTCGGGCCCATACTTGGTACTCGTATTTTGTATGATGCTTCTTCAAATGGACTATAGCAGAATACACTCCGAAATTCAATTGTAATCTCTGAGGGTCTGGAGTTTACCTGGTTTGCAGTTTAGGGTTCACGGTTGTATGATTGAGAGCTTGAGGTCTAAACGCGTCGGTACACTTTTGTAGAACAATCCCTTCATGAGGACATACTACGTAGGCCTCCTGCACTCTCAAACTGGTCCCCTGTTAAACTGTGAGGGGCACTCACAGACGGTAAGCCGTCAACACATCACCCCCCAGGGCAATTTTGCCAAATGCTTTCAACCCTGATAGAACCGCTTGTGAAAAAACTTGAACACCCTTATGGAGTTCTTGCAAAACCACATGCCGCTGTCCACAAAGCTCCACCGGCGAAGGCCTCGAGCGAGCAGCAAGTGCAGCACCTCCTCAAAGTGGCGCGGCTTAATATACGGGCCTTACTAACTACCAATACCATTCTGGGGGTTCCTGAGTATACTTATAGTATATTGGGCCCCAAAGCACTATTCTAATCTTTAAGGCCCCTACATTATGGTTCTGGGGCTCCCAGGCTTAACGGGTTCTCGGATGGGGCTTTGTGGATTGAGAGCCGCGAGCTTGGATGCCAATGTCATGTGCTGAATGGGGTGCTTTTCAACAGCCCTGACACCTCAGAACAACGAACTTCCATACGCAGAATACTAATTTTTACTTCTCCGAGATAGACTCGAGGGCGGCACCAACGACGCCACCTTCGCCCATCCGTGTGCCGACCGCTCTAGCGGGACCGAAGCTGAGTAAAGCAGGGGCGGAGATGGCGGCTGGTGCGGGATCCAGCAGCGAATCTCCGATCGAGACTCCGACCTATTTCTGGAAAGGTCGGGTGGCACCGTTGAGCCTCCCACAGCCAATGCCTGCCGAGCCTGCGGGACGTTCTCATGTACCTCCTGTGGCAGATTCGGACGCAGAGGACAATTGGGGTGGATGGAAGAGCCAACCCGCCAGCAGCTCGGCGCCTTGCCTTCGGATCTGTGGCCCCGAAACACTACCTTAATTGTGGGGTTCCTGAAATTGAATAATGATTAGGACGGATGCTGCGACCCTACACAGAAGTAATTAATTAAGTTGATTGTAGTCGGCTAACGTCTTACTCAAGTTGGGATCCTCGCATTCGGGCTTCCGAACCCTAGACTTTCTAAGATCTCAGCTCCAAGCTCTGAAACCTTCAACTTCCAAAACCCCAAGCTCTACGTAGTTTTCAGGGTTTAGGGTCTGCGATTTAGAGTTTTCAGGGCATCAAACTTACTACGGAAGTACTAAACATAGAAGCTCTGCTTCCTACTTTCGTGTTGGGGCTACAGATCTGTGGGACTGTGGTTTTGGGTCTGGGGTTGGGGTGGGTAGGGCTGTTGGTGCGGGTATTGAGGTGTATAGAACTTTCTGTTTAGAAGGGCTTTTGGGTTGGGGCGTAGGCTGCGAGGTTTAGCAACAAGTTAGCGTGCAAAGTTGGAGCCGGTGGCAAGAGCACCCACCCAATCTTCACACACATGATCTGGAGGTTCTTTTCGGAAAGATTATAAGGGTTTTAGTGTTTAGGGTCTTGGGCTTCTCGTGCTAGCTTTAATTGGTTTAGGATTCTAGGGCTTATGGGGCATAAGAAATGGCTTCGGCCTTCGTGGCAAAACACTGTGCGCGCTTGCCAGCTGGCCGGAGGAGCGAGTACCCAGACCCCCGGAAGGAATGATCCAAGAACCAATACCCCTCAGAAGGGCTTATCTTAATCCATGTATGGGTAATTAGGACATGGTTCCTTTAAGGGTCTGGGCCCCAAACCCGAAATCCTTTATCCTAAAGGTGAAAGGTAAAGCACCCCTAAGCTCGACCCATGAACCCAAAGCGCACATCCTAAACGTGTAGCCAAACATCAACGACCTTTGGCCACGGCAGCATGAATTTTGCGCAGCACCGGACTGCCACAAGCTACAGCTATGTAGGAGACAACCTGGTAGATTGAGGATACACCAGATCTGCCAAAAATGGTAGGAATCTAAAACTCAATCCTAAACCCATATACAACCCCAAACCCAAGCCTTTGAACTTAAACCCTCAACCTATTTCCGAGGCCCTCGCGCGTGGAGCCTGAGATCGTCGGAGAGCGCCGCGAGCGCCGGGCCAGTGGCATGGCTTTGAACATTCCTTTCTGTATTATATGGGCGAATTCCTTTCAGGATTTCTTTAAGGGGGCCTACCATAGTTACGTAGGGGCTGAACGGGTTTAAGGTTTAGGGTTCCGTTTTGAGACTTGTTGTCTTGATCACGGGTTTGATTTCCAGTTTCTTTTGCATTTCCGGTTGGAGGTATTCTTTCTTGGTGTCAATTGCATTGGTATTGTTTCCTTTCGGCTCCATTTTCAACCATTACTGAGTTTTTTACTTATTGGCTTTAGGGTTGTCAGTGTTGTGGGTGCTTAACTTCAACTTCGAGTCTCTGGGTGTTTTGGTGCAGATGTCGAGTTTAAGAAAGGTATTTAGGATTCAGTTTGGAGGTCTATGGCTGTTGAGGTCTGGGGCTGAGGGCAAAAGCTTCATATGGGTAGTTGTGGAACTTGTTATAATACGGCACCTAATATTTAGGGGACCCAGAAAGGGGCTATAATTTTGACAACTACTCATATGTCTCACAGCCTATGCAGGTATAGGGTTCGCAGCGTGTACAATGTGCGAGGTTTCTGAAGCCTTCTTGGGTGTAGGGTTGGCGAGCTGGTGGGATTGGTTGCTTAATGGAACAGTGGATGGAAGTAGTTGCTCGGGTTGGGAAAGCAAGCTTGCAACCTCAGCTGACTCAATAAAGTACCCATGAGCCCGCAAGTGAGTTCCGTATACAGGGGTAAAGTGTTGAAGGCCGTGCATGTCGCAGTCCGGGCTCCTTCGGCGGGAATGAGTTTACTGGCAAGGTTTTAAGTTTTGGTTGTCCCAGGATGTGCACGGCGCTTTACATGTTTCTAAGCTTATTTGGAGGCTTGACAGGGTTTGCAGTCCTTGATTGCAGGTCCCCGGTGCTCGCTTCAGAAATTCGAACCTGTTCAGGCCTGAATGTTCAGAACATGCCCTGAACAGCACACGGGAGGTTGTCTAGCTTGACCTGCAGCAGGCTCCGGCTTCGTCAGCTTTAGACAAAACCGATTGTGTGCGAGAGCAAAGCGATCTATTTTCGCACGAGCGGATGGAATCACAAGAGTGGGCGGAAGTTCAAGGCTTTTGGATTGCGCTGGTCAGCACGCGCTCAACAAAAACTCCTGCAAAGCCTCGTAACACCCTATGAATCCCCAGGCAACCCCGACGAAGGACCCTATGATTATGATAACCGATGAAGCTCATAAAGCCCGATCAATCAAGTCTTTGACGGCCGACCATTAAACAGAAAAGCGCCCTGAGTGTCTGGAGCCTAGGTGACAGTTCGAATGTCTCCATCCGCGAGCTCGAGGCATTTGTCTGGGCTGGAGTCTTTCGTTGTTTCGGTTTGTCCTGGGATTTAGGGTTGTTTGGGTCTGCTTTGCATGTCCAAGGGAAGGCAGTCGTCCAAACTAAGGTATCTGTTCTTGGATCAAAGGACGTAGTAGCTTGGGGTATAAATCAGGTAGCCATACTTCCATTCACTTCCAACCCTAGTAGTTTTAACCTTACTTACTTAGTTTCATGATCCTTCAGTGGAGCGCAGGGTTTCGGGTCTTCTGCACTGAGCACGCCTACGGAGAGAATCTTTGAAGCGGTTGAAGGTTTAGGATGTAGTTCGGGTCCCAGCGGTTTTTGTTGGCACTCCTTCGACTCATCGAGACAAACTTTAAGCCTTTTTATAAACCTTAAACCCTGAGTCTAGAATAGGTTCCTTCGTGGCGCCGCCCGACCAAGTGAGCACAGTCGGCAGACGCGGTCTTGGTACTCTGGGTTATACTCTGGTACAGTGACGACTCAAGGGCTCATAGTTTTGGGTTGGGCGGGTGGGCTGTGATTTTGTCCAAGACGGGATTTCTGGAGCTCGTGCGGTTGAGGCCAATAGACTAACAATGGGCATTTACACCCTAAGCTGCAGACCGAAACCGCCCAAGCCCTAATGCCCGAAAGCGTGTAAGCCCTAAACTGAACACCAAACCCAAGCCCGCCCCATGCCTGAGCTGTACCTATCCCTTAAAGCAAATTATACCCTTAGACCTAAGCGCCAAAACCTAAACTCGGCCGGATTAGAACCCTGAGCAATAACGCAAGCACCCCAAGCCACAAAGCCTTTCGAAGTATTATCTGGACCCTAAAAGTGCGCAGAGCAATGTCCTTTTACAAGTGTTGGGACAGTGTTGGGCAATCATTTTACCTACTCTTCGGGGTCTGGGTACACCTGAACTTAAACTCGAGCTGAGAAGAACTGAATGCTGAACTCTAACTAGAAGCAAATCTGACCCGGTTTAGGGTTTGAGGTTTCGGTGTTACACCTTTGGGGCATATATATATATATGTATACTTATATATGTGTATATATATATACAGAGCCCATACCCGCAACCCAAAGCCATAAATTAGCCGGCACGCTGAGTAAACCTGAGCGCCGACTAGAAGGGGGTCCCAGTACCATTCAACGAGCCTTTGTTTTTTAAAAAAGGTACGGCCAGGAAGAGTTGCATCGCGACAGCAAGGCTTTTCAGCCCGCAAAGCCATAAAAGCTGTGCCGTAAAGCCTTGAGCAGTACACGGCCCCACGGAACCACATAAATGCTACACGAAATTAAGCCACTTCAAATAATATGGAAGTATTCCATACATCAAGAAGCAGTTGATCATACTTTGCGGAGTGTTCCTGATTTCACGGTGTTGGGGGTCTGATGCCAAGCCCTTAAAAACCTTCGCCGTAAAGCATATGGCATATGGCTTGAGACCGCGTCTGCACCAGCAGGGATTGCACGCGGTCAAGCCGCGTGTGGAACAACTGCTGACATGGAAGCCAGGGGGCGGCTTTTCAGGTTGTATAGCCGGGGTTTCCTTCATTAGATGTTTGTCTTTCTCTTCATGATTAGGGAACTAGTAGGGTTGGGGCTTGACGGTTTCCTTCCAGTTTCAAGGCTGAGGTTGTTGAGGGCTTCGTCTTGGGTGGAGGGAGGGTAAAACGTTGGATACCACCCCCACTCAGTATCAGTTATATATATATATATATATATACATATATGTATTTATTTATTTGTTTATAGTATTGCAATATAGACACATAAGGCCTTTGATAGTAGCCGATTATAGACTGACTGTGGCAGTACCCAAGTTAAGCGGTTGAAACTATCCTCCCTTTCACCGCCTTGATGAAACGATTGTTATCTTTTCAGGAATCGTCTTCGGTTTCGTGGGGGTGAGGGCAGGGAAATCAAGCACAAGGCTTTGCCCACAAACATCGTACTTAAAAAATCATGGGACTTAGTAATTGGGGTTATAATTAGGGTAAGCATACTTCTAACTACTTCTAGCCCCAATTAAGGTACTTATAACCTTACTTGCTAAGTCCCATGATTCTCCAAGTAGGATTCTGACGGTACCAATTAATTGCCTTCTAATCGGGACGGGACTTCATAAGGGTTATGGCTGAAGGCTGTGGGGTTGAGGCATTCAGGGTTTAGGCGTTCAACGTGCTGTCTGTCAAACCTGCAATGCGAAAGCACCCCCCGAACTTGGCTAATGCTTTTCAACCATGTTTTAAATGGCTTCTGCGTCTGGTGAGCTTTCTGCCTCCCAGCAAACGCCAGAAGTTGCGGGGCTATGTCACGAAACTTCATGCAGTGGCCTTTTTTGTCCAGGGAGAACTCATAGACCAGGCTTTTGCAGCTCTATAATGGCAAATGTCTGAATTCTTGTCAGGGTGCTATACGGTGCAACATTGGGGTCCTGGCATTGACCTAAGGCTGTGTTTATATGGTTTTGGTTTGCTTTCAGCTGCATTTGTGTCGCACTTGAAGGATATCAGAAGTGCGGTGTCTTGAAAGAGGGTCCCTCTTCAGGCTGAGGGCGCGCCGTCGTAAGGGTGTAGTTTCGAGTTTTCTGAGGCTTGGTGCAAAGGGTGCATGGTAGGTGCCGGCAGTCTCAGGCGAACTACCGGAATGAAGCTTCCCATGTTGATCTAGGGGTGTAATGTCGGAACCTGATTAAGGAACCCTGGCCCTGCAACCCCGATATATTGAGATTCATATGAGTAGTTGTCAAAACTAGGGTCCCTTTTGGGGTACCCTAAATAATGGGTGCCGTATTATATTAGGGACCCAAAAAGGCCCATAATTTTGACAACCACCCATAAAGGAACCCTACTAAATGCCCAAGGTTTCTTAATCAGGCTCCTGCGGATTCATATAAGGAACCCTAATAAAGACCCAAGGTTTCTTAATCAGGATCCTACTTTAAGGTCGGCAAAGCATGTTTCGCTTGCAGCCACAACTTCGGCAGTTGATCTCGTCTGAAGTTGTTTTTGGGCGGTTGTCAAAATTGGGGTCACTTTTTACCCTAAATAATAGGTGCCGTGCTACAATAAGGACCCCAAAAGGGACCCTAATTTTGACAACCACCCATTTGTAGACTACACGACCCCCCCCCCCATTAAGGATACCTTTGGCTCTGTGGGGTGTGGGGTTTTGCAGACCGTGGGGCTTGTAGGGTTTAGGGTTTAGGGTTTAGGGTATTACTGCTGAACTGGAGACATCGCCCTCAAGAGTTGGACTTGCTGCCGTCTTATTTGGGGATGGCTTTGCCCGTCCAGCGCTTTTCCTGGGGCATGGAGCAACTGGAGCTGATCCATGACAATCTACTGAGAGATTGTGGAAGCTTGTTCATTTACTTTGTCATAGTTGGGTAACAGTTTACATGTTTATGGGTACTTAAACCCAATAAGGAATAAAAGGTTGAATTTATAATCCTAGCCCAACCATGAACTAGTTTAGAAGCGCTGATTCAAAGGATGTATTTGTGTAGATTGCAGGTTTGCATTCTTTTTGTTGAGACTCTGACGCTCCTCTAGGTATCGGAGCAAGCAGTAGCTTCTTTCTTAAATCCCTGAGCCCGTTTCCTTAAACTCTAAGCCGATAGATCTTGTTGAGCTCTTCGAACTCCAAATGGCTTGGTCAATGAAGGGGAGAAGAATCCTCAACCCTAAAGCCCAAGCCCTGTAGCTTGGGGTGAATTCCTAGTTCAAAAATACTAGTTCTAGTCACTAGGGTTTTCTTGTATTAGTTGTGGCATGGTAGTATATCCCAAAAGTCTATTCTAATTCTTAAGTTGCATTTGTTCCATGCAGCATACTCTGCTCCGCAACCCTGCTGTGTAGTCTTTCTTCGGGCGCAATGTTGAACCACGCAGATCGGAGTCCTAAACCCTAATCCTTAAACCCTAAACCTTACGTAAGCCCTAAGCCCTAGACCCCTAAACATTGGAGTTGTCACGCCAGCTGCGATTGCTCTGCCCTGCTGTATGCTCTCACGGGAAGCGTCACCCGAAGGCAGACATGGGGTTGATCTTCGTACTTTAACCTCGAGGCTCCTCACATATTACCAACATGGAATTGAGTTCGTACAACATAATAAGGATGGTTTTTTGGGACTTAATACCATAATGGTAGTATATGAGGAGCCTCTGGGTAACGGGCCAGTTTAAATATGCACTGTCTACTTTGGCCTCGAATTGGTTCCTAAACACCGTAAACTCCAAACCCTCAACCCAATCCTAAACCCCCAAACCCCCAACCCCTTAACCCCTTAGCCCAACTTTGGCGCCAAAGTGTCGGTTATGCAGGCTCATGGGCACTTAGGGCTCCGCGTACAGCCCGAAGTTTCCTGGGCCTGGTTGCTACAAGTGTAGGGCTTACCTCAAAACCCTGAATATTCTACAATTTTAAGGACTTGTATAAGGAAATCATAATAAGGAGCCCTAAAGCGGTACTTAGTGTAGGAACCTGACTAAGAAACCTTGGGCTTTTATTGAGGTTTCTTATATGAATCCTACTGTTTTGGGGTTTTAGGACCAAGGCTTCTTAATCAGGTTCCTACATTAGTAGGGTTTAGGGTTTAGGTTATCGAAGTTCTCGCGACTCGGGGTTTTGCTTGCAGGTTTTTGGTGGGTTCCATCACACTTAGCGGCCTTCCCTCCTCTTCAAGGGTCGCAGAAAGGGTTCCGGTCATCCCGCTAAATCTGGACTCGACAGCAGAAATCGGTTCAACAGCAAGGGGAACGGATAGGCCTTAGTAGTACCGTCATACCAGCCCTTTATACTCAATTATCCCCATGAGGCCCTTTTCACAAGGTTTTGAAATCAAGGATTTGGTTTTAAGGGTTCAGGGCCTCCAGATGTGGGCACATGTCTTCTCTGGTGTGCTCTTTGCCTGTTCTGTTTGTAGTGGCGTGCAAGGTTTTGGGCTGTGGCGCTTTAATCATAGTCGTTGTCTGCTCATTGATTTTCTATCTGTGCTCCCAGAAACCTACTCTGTTCTTCAGTGGTGTAAGCTGTTTGCCCTGTACCTTGGGTTCCTACTTAGTCTCCTACCGTATGTCCCGCACCTCCATGGGTCACTGAGGAGTCTCGTCTACGATTTCCTGGCTGAAGCCGTAGACCGTAGAAGCCTAAACTCTTGGCCCAACGAAACGCTAACACTTAAAGTCAAAGGGGAAAAGGAGGGACCCTTAATGGGGACCCATACCCTATAATGGGCTATATACTGGGTGTATGGTGGCTATATTAAGGGTATATACCTAGGGGGCCTTCTTAAGGGTCCCTCCTTTTACCCTTGGAATCCTACACCCTAAACCCTGAACCCTAAACCCCCATAGTTCCCTTATGGATCCCTTAAAGGAACCCTTCAAGGAACCCCTAAAGCCCTTGTACCCTTGGATAAAGGCTAAGCC